ATAGGTCTGCTCTTCGGTGGCTTGCTTTCTATTTCTCTGGTCATTTTCTTTTATTCTGGACAGATGATTTTTCTGGGTACACAATTTCAGACCAGCAGAGCTTTCTAAACAATCTAAAGATGTGCACTCTTTCCTGGTTCCTTGCTATAGATGAATCGTTGGAAATTCCCATCCTTTGAGTTAGTGAGTGTGTCTTGAATTGTTACTGAGATGTTTTGATTTAGTTGTGCAGAAATTTCATTATACTATGTCCTAGTGTGGGTTTCTTTTATTGTTGTTGTTAATGTTTTTCTTTTTTGTCTTTTTGAGACAGGGTTTCGCTATGCAGTTCAGGCTGGCCTTGAACTCACTATGTAGCCCAGGCTGGCCTCAAACTCCTGGCAATCCTTCTGCCTTAGCCTCCTAAGTGCTGGGACTACAGGTGTGCACCACCACACCCAGCCTATATTATGTTTCTTTTATCTACCAATTTGGGTCTTTTATATGCTTAGAAAAATTCTTAGCCATCAATTTAAAAAACACTAGACTTCTACTTCTCCATTGCCTTAGGGGGAACTACTACCTCCTCCCACCCTGTAACTGAATCTTACTTTTAAGGATTCAGCTCATGATAAAAAAAGAATTGGGAGAAGCTTCACTCCTCTCTGTTGGGAGTGGCTGGAGCTGGGAATGGGTCATATGTGTGAGGGCAAGACGGAGCCAGAGTGCCTCAAGCTGTCAAGCTACCTCAGTCTTGAGAAAAACATCCTGCCTGGACAATTCAGTCATCAGTCGCTAGGCAACATTGCCTCACAGGATACTAACTTTGCAAAGGTATACGTTAATGCTCCTACTATTGTTCAATCCTCCAGCCCTGCAAGGTGAAGAGGTTACTCTGCCTGACCCCAGCTTTTGTCTCTGGGTTTTATTTTCCTCAGACCCCCTGCTCTTCCTCTCTGGTTACAAGGACAAATGAGCTCCCTACACCTTGCCTCTCAGGTCTTTGATTTCTTTCACTTTCTATAAGCTCAGAAATGCAGGTTTTTTTTTTTTTGTTTTTTTGTTTTTTGTTGTTGTTGTTCTTTTTAGCTTAGACACTACTGGGAGTAGAAGGGTTTTATTGGATTTTAAATTTGGTCTCACTTTTATTTTCACATCGGCTTGTAAGTTAGGGCTACTCCTGCTGGGTATCACGTGTTTGTGTGTTGTTCTAAAGTCGCACTTCCTCTTACGGACACTGATGTGCACCGGGAATTCTGAGAAAGTCAAGGTCTGAATGATTTTTTTCCCTTGTTCATGAGTTGCTTTTTCCTGCTGTCTGGACATCTATATGGTATTTACTTATTTATTTTTGCCATACTGGGAAACACACGCAGAGCCTTCTCACTGAGCTGCATCCACAGCCCTTTTTCATTTTTTAATTCTGAGGCAGAGGCTGGGCTTGAACTTGTGATTCTCCTGCTCCAGCCTCCCCGAGTGCTGGGATTGCAGGCGTATGTTGTCATGTCCCCTTTAGCTTTCCTTTATCTGTACAATAGGTAGCTTGAGGCTCATTAGTCATAATTCAAATGTGACCTTTTTCTCCCCTGAAATATAGTGGACTGTTTTTCTGAAATATAGTAGGTCCATCCTCAGGTAAACTCTTCTCTACATGTTCTTCGTGCTTGGCATGCATTAGTTTCATAATGTGGGGAAAACCCAGTAATGTTTTCAAATGATGCATTCTGTGGCATGGAGCTCATTTTGTTTTGTTTTTCAGTTCTGGGGATCAAACACAGAACCTCTGCACTGCACTACCTCCCCACCTTATTTTCATTTTGAGAAAGAATCTCACTGTATTGCTAAATTGCCCTGGTTGTGCTGGAACTTTCCATCCTCCTGCCTCAGCCTCCCAAAGTGCTGGGATTACAGGTGTGCACCATCACATGTGGCAACATAGTTTTTAAAACAATGTTGTTTAAATTTTTTTTTTTTTTTTTTTGTTTCCATTTGAAATGGGGAATTTTTCATTGATCTGAAGGCTGGCTGAGAAATATTTGTAGCTTCCCAGTTGCTGCCTACTATTTAATTTGGCAAAATCCTTTAAGTTATGTTTTCTGTGCATGTAGGAAATAAAACATAGGTAAAGAATTGGAGAAAATATCTGCAATACGTAAGGCCAAGAAAGGGATGACTTCTTTAATTCAAAAGAACAATGATTGATAAGTCAATTATAAAAAGAGAATGATTTAATAGAAAAATGGGTACCTAGAAAAAGAGGGAGAAGATAGACAAGGGGATACTACATATTTGTAAAAATTGTTGAATTTAATAATTATTTTTACATGTCAGTTTGACAAAAGTGTAACAAAAATTTTTTTGTTAATCTTCGCTGCTACTATGGAGTAGTATTTAATGAGGTAATTTTACTCATATTTATTCAAACTAAAAACCAGATAACAGTTCATATACACTTTAGTTCAATAATCCACTTAGCAAAGCTACCTTGCAGAAAAATGTGTGGAAGCCAGCCAAATAAACAAAGAAAATTCACGATTGTTTTGGACCAAACAGAAAACCACATGAATTTCCTTACTTAGGTGATTGGTTAAATTCTACTGTAAATTATAAGCAATGAGGTAGATTGGTAAGTGTTGTTATGAAAAAATGTTTCTAAAATATTACTTATACTTACATATGGAATTGTTTTTTTTTTTTTTTTTGAGACAGTTTCTGTCTGTGTAGTTCAGGCCAGCCTTCAACTCACTAAGCAGCCTAGACTGGCCTCAAACTCATGGCGATCCTCTTGCCTCAGCCTCTCAAGTGCTGGGATTACAGATGTGGTCCACCAGACCTGGTTTACATATGTATCTTTAAAAAAGAACTAACAAAACTCAGATAAATTATTCTTTGGGAGACTGCCTGTAATCTTTTCCTACTTTTAAGATTTCCTATTCATACGTGTATTTATTCATGTATTTATAATATCAAAAGTTGTTACATGAGTCTTGGACCTATGAGTCTGTTTCCTTTATAACTCTTTATCTTAAGAAAAGCCAAAACTCTTTGTCTTAAGAAAAGCCATCGTAGGTCACTAAAAATGAGAAAGAACAACTCCAAAAATTATGCTCGTTCTTCATGGTATCAAGGTTGAATGAGAGGCAGATTTTCTGTGTTAGACATTTTTGTTCAGGTAGAACTAATTATAGAACCTGCCCACCCGCCTGCTCTGACACGTCACTCTCAGACCATTACAAGAAGGGACCAAAATGACTTCGGCACCTTCCCATGTCTGAAGTGCTCTTGACTTTCCTTTCTAGTTTAAGCACGGTGATCCTAGGGCCTGCGTGTGACCCGCTGGGGAGACTTTCCCATTATGGGCTGTGTGGTGTTGGGCTTCAGCCCTTTGCTGGAGAATTTTTTTTATCGTGTTGCACTCTGTGGCTCAGGAAGCACTTCCCGCGCACCATTTCTCAGAGGGCGATGTCTTCTCGTCTTTAATCTCAGCGGGGACGACAGGCTCTCCACCCTCTCCTGCGTCTGTCACCGTGGCTCCTCCTCTCACCCGCTCACCAGGCCACGGGTAGATCTGCTCAGAGCAGGGACGGGTGACAGTGGGCGGGGTGCGGCACAGGGATTTAAAGGGCAAAGGGCTGAAGAGAAGTTCGCTGTTACTGAAAGCATTGGAACTGGGAGTTAGAAACCGTGAAACACCCGCTTCAGTGTGGACGAAGCATCCTCGGTGTGCAGGTTTTTAGGTGTGTGTGCCTCTATTCATTTATGTGATTCCCTCCTACTTCTCCTTCCTTTTTTCCTTCCTTCTACTGGGGCTGTGCCAGGGGCCTTTGCCCTGAGCTACATCCTAGGATTTCACCAAGTTGCTCAGGCTGGGCTTGAACTAGGAATCCTCCTGCCTCAGCCTTCCAGAGTGCTGGGACTACAGGTGTGTACAGCCATGCCCAGCAATGCCTTTCTTATTTTGTATCCAGCTGTCCACTTTTGTGTTTGTGGTAGAAGAGAGCATGAAATCCGTAAAGGAAGATTACACATCAAAGGACAGAGGAAGAACTCACAACAAACAGAATAATGGAAGATTTTGTATCAGTTAATCTTTCATTGGGCTGGACGCTACAGATAATGTTTCTTTCTTAAGCAATTGAATTCCGTATATTGATGGCAGGTTTTTTCCTTTTAACCTTGAAAATCAGGGTTGTGTAGACTCTTGCCACCTTTTGGGTGACTCTGCTAGGTGGCCTGTGTCAGACACTTGACTCCATTAATATTACTTTTAGGAGTTTACTCAAAACTCAAGAAAATAATTAAAAAGAAAAAGAGTTTGTCCACAAAACATTTTCCCAGCTAGCTGTAGTAGCACATAACCTGTTATCCTAGCCCTCTGAGAGGCTGAGGCAGGAGGATCACAAGCCCCAGCCCAGCCCGGCCAACTTGTAATATCCTGTCCCACAGTTTAAAAACATTAAAAAGGGCTGGGGCTACAGCGCAGTGTGAAGGCCCTGGGTTTGATTTCCAGTTCTGACAAAACCCCCAAATTTTTTCGCTTGGAGGAAGAATGGATGTGTGGACTGTGATGCATCTGCCTGACAGTAAGATGGTAGCTGTGATTCTCGACGGCAACCTGAAAGGATTCATGAAGCAGGGGCGGAAAGAAGCGCTCACTTCCACCAAGGCTGGCAAAGAAAGTGCTTGGATGGAAAGTTCTGGGTGCTAAAGAAACTAGAAAAGGAAAAGATAGTTGATTTGCTGAAGTGCGGGAAAAGAACATCAGGTTATTTGTTTATTTCTTTAACGTCTTTAATGCCATAAATTGTGCAAAAAGTCAAAGTATAGGAAAAGAAGCAGAGCCAGGCCTGGTGAGAGAAGGGCAAGGAGCCGATGCAGGGTGGACCTGGACGAGGCGACCCAGGACCTGGACTCTCCTGGGGCCCCGTCCCTGCGCCGTCCCGGGAGACACAGGGCCGGGCGGCAGTGGCAGGGGTACTTCGCCAAGTACTCAAGCGCTGTATGTGTTTTCCGTTTCCCAGGTCCTTTCCCTCGCCGAATTCTTCTGGCCCTGCATCTTGTTCATGATCCTGACGGTCCTTCGGTTCCAGGAGCCCCCCAGACGCAGAGACAGCTGTAAGTGTCGCTCTGAGCTCTGCTCTGGAGTCACAGACCTTATACAGACAAGGAATGGTGCTCCCTGGCGGTCTCTGCTGGTCGGGGACTGCATTGCATATTGCAGAAAAAGGTGAAATCATTATCAAAACTTCATTTAGAAAGAGCTGGGAAGCTTTACAGGGTTCCTATTGATTTTATTTTATTTTATTTTATTTTATTTTATTTTATTTATTCATTCAACAAATGAGTCCTGAGTGCCCTTTGTGTCCCAGCTGCTGGTGAAATGGTGCACCAGGTATTTTCTCACCTATACAGAACTTGCTGGAGGGGCAGATTAATATAATACATCAGGAGCAAGTATGGTGGCCACCATTCCTGACATATCCCTGAGAGAAGGGGACACGGAACCATGCTAGCAAAATGTACCTGCTATTACTAGCTGGAATATGACCTCCAAACCTCTATGATTGCCTATTTAACAGCTCTGGGACAAATAATGTGTACTAGGAACAGCACGTTCTCCTTAGCTGAGAAACCCACGCATTTATTTTTCATTCATTCATTTTTGCTCATTGAGTCAATCATCAAACCAGTAGTGAACATCTTCCGTGTGCAAAGGGTTGGGCTAAATGCTGGACATAGTGGGTCTCCAAGTCCTGGAGAGTGAAAGCCTCTCTCAGGTCAAAGTAGACGCCAAGGGAGAAGCTGTCACCAGGGAAACCTGGAGCCCAGTCACCCCTCAGGTGCCTGCTGCTGTCAGTATCTCTGCTGTTCCTACCCATCGGGGGTGTGACGGGCGTGTAGGCCTGGGACACGCGTCATCAGCACTTTATCCAGGGGGTGGATCACTGTAACCATGGCTGTCCTGAAAAGTCTCTGCTTGGAGCCAGTGTAGAACACATTTTGCATCACATAATATTTAGCAACTACACTTAAACATTTAAGAATCCAGTTGCACTGAACTTGAAACTTTTGCACAAAATTTAAAACTCTTGAATTTTAACGCAAGGCGGGAAAGTGTCAGTTCTTGTTTCTTACTCATGGCGGCACCTGGGGCTGGGACGTGGGACAGAGTTGTTGCCACTCGACGGACAGGGAAGCTAACAAAACCGGGGAAGCTACTGTTATTCACAGCCACTCTCCCTAGAGTGTGAGGACAGACGTGGGTAAGAGGTGTTATCCAGGCAAGGTTTTATTGCTCTTGGATATTCCTCAGATATCTTATAATAACTGATCTAGTAATACCATGACTTGATGTTATAAATTATGATACTATCCACTAGGTGTCCACTTCTGACTCACTAGGTGTCAACTTCTGGTAGCAGGGCACGGGCTCATTTTTTCCTTGCATTTGTTGCCAGGTTTCTTGCAGCCCCGGGATCTGCCCAGCCGAGGTGTCCTCCCCTTTGTCCAAGGGCTTCTTTGTAACACCGGCTCAACCTGCAGGAACTTCAGTTTTGAAGGGTACATGGACCACCGTTTCCGGTAAGAGAGACACGGACATGCTGCTCAGAATTCCTGGGAAGCTGGTGCCACAGTGGGCATCATAGGTTTAGTTCAGCTTTAATAATTTGGGACAGGGCAGGGATTGTAGAAGGTACGGAATATAGAGCTACAAAAATCAGTTTTATTAAATTCATAGTCAATGATAAAGGCTCCAGCTAATTGTTAGGGTCTATGAGGAGGACTTTGCACTGTGTTTCAAGATTCATGGCATCAGTGGTGGTGAGCAATGTCAACTGCATGTAATAGTTTGTTTTCTCCAGGTTGAAACTCTGACTTCAAAACTACTTGCTTAGCTAACTTTTTATTTTGGGTTTATCCACTTTGAGTGGCCTCCTGGGCTTTTTCTATGGTGCCATTGCCTAGGGTCCTGCCCCCACCTGAGATCAGATGAAAGCAGTTGTCAGTTGCCTCTTTCTTTTTTCACACTACCTTGACATGGCTTAGATCTAAAATGTTCCCCCTAGAGTCTTAGGTGTTCAAGGCTGGGGCTTTCAGAACGTGACTGGATCACAGGGGTACTATATTCACCAGTGGATTCATCCATTGGTGAGTTCACAGCTGAATGTGCTACTGGGGGGGGGGTGCTGGCCAGAAGAGGAGGGTCATCACACCAGTTGGAAGACCCAGTTCTTGTCCCTCATCCTCCTCCCTTGCTCTGCTTCCTGGCTGCTGTGGGTTGAGCAGCTTTGCTCTGCCATGTTGTTTGTGCCTGGGAGCCAATCGACCATGGACTGAACCCCTAAGCTGTGAGTTAAATTTCTTGTTCTTGAAGTAGCGGGTGTTGGGTCTTTTGGTCTAGCAGGGGGAAAGAGTAATACAGAAAACTGGTACCAGAAGTGAGGTCATTGCTGTAACCATATCTGACCATGTAGTTGAAAAGCATTTGGAACTGCTTTGTGAGAGGGGTCTTCAAAGGCTTGAAAAATCAGTCCTAAAAGGCTGTGAGCAGAGTTTAACAGACAGTTCGGTCAGGGCTAGATAGGAATGCAGACAAGAAAGACCAGGCAAAGAGGTTTCAGATGAGCATGAGAACTTTTCTGGAAATCAGATTACGAGGAGCCCTGCTTGTTACATTCTGACAGAGAATTTGTGTACATTGTGCCCATGGTTTGAGACTTTGCAGAAGGCTAAATTTAAAGGTGCCGAACTAATTAATCTGGTGGAAGAAACTTTAAACCAGCTCAACATTTAGGCCGTGGCATGGGTACTGTTGGCTGCTTTTAGCAAGATCTATGGTAAAAATCAGAGACAAAAAACAGAACCAAAAGATATAAAAAATTTGCAGCTTGGCCATAAAGAAACTACTTATGAAGTGAGGGCTGGGGAGAATATGTTTGCTAAAAAGATTAGTAGCCGTTTTATAAAAGTACTTGACACTTGAATAATAAAGGGCAGCTCAAAATTTAGCTAGACTCCTCATTGTAAAATGGGTAAGCTCCTTTAAAAGAGCTGGTTTTAAAAAGAGAGTCCCAGGGTTTCTTGTTTGCTCATAGCTACCTAGGAAAGAATATTCTCCAGTTCAGCCATTCAGGCATTCAGAGGCTACTGTAGCCTTGGTCCATAGGGGCTAGCATACTGCTCCAGCTGGTGACAGGCTTTGGTATCATTCACATGCTACTGGTTTTTCAGGCATACAACATGCAAGAGTTGTGGGGTCAGGAAGGCTTCCACTCAAATTTCAGAGGAGGTTAGACAGTGTGCTCCTGAGAGGAATGTGTATGAAGCTATAGAAGTAGAAGTAAGGCAGGTGTTGTGGTGCATACCTGTAATCCCAATACCTTGACAAGTTCAGGCAGCAGAATGGCAAGTGTGAGTCCAGTCTGAACAATGTATAGGCTTAGTGAAAAGTTGTCTCCAGAGGGGAGTGGGTAGATGAGGATGTAGCTCAGTGTTCAATCCTCTGTACGCCTCCTCCAAAAAAGGAAAAATAAAGGTACACTGGACACTAACATTTTGGAAGTGCAAAAACGTAAAATATCTGCAAGAAAGAAAAGCCACAGGCAGTAAGGCCATCCAAACCCTTTGGAGCTTGTCTGTCACCACAACCTGCCCTGGGTGCTCCATGTGGAGCTGGGCTGTCTTCCTGCTGGGCTTCCATTTGGTTTTGTCTGATTTCTTGCATCTTCCTGTTCCTCCCTTTTAGGATGGGAATGTTTACCCAGTGCCATTACATGTTAAAAGTATTTAACTTTTGTAGATGATCAACAAAGTCATGAGCATATTAAAGCATAAGATCTTTATCTTTCAGCTTTTAGTTATAAGCAGATAATAAAAAGTATCTAGATAATTTTAAACACAGTATTTATAAATGGTGCTCGTCCATTTGGGTGATTTAACAAAATGTCCTACCCTGGGTGGCTTATAACAGAGGGTTTTTGTTTTGTTTTGTTTTGCTTTTGTTTCTTCAGACAGGGTCAGTTGAACTCACTATGTAGCCCAGGCTGGCCTCAAATTCACAGTTAGCCTCTGGCCTCAGCCTCCTGAGTGCTAGGATTACAGGTGTGCACCACCATACCTGGGTTGGGTGGCTTATAAGAAAGAAATATTTATTTATCACAGTTCTGGAGATAGGGAAGCCCAAGATCAGAGCACTGGCAGATTCAGCGTCTGGTCATGACCCTTTTGCTACAGATGGTAACTTGTAGTGTGTCCTCACATGATGGAGGCTCAAGGGCCCTCTCTGGGGCTCACTCACTAATCCCATTCGCCAAAACCCCCACTTATGACCTAGTGCCTCCCCCAGGTAGGTAATACTCTCCCCCTCCCTCCTGGTGTCCTGGGGGTCGAACTCAGGGCCTTTACTGTCAGCTGCATCTTCACTGCCGCCCCTTTTTGTGGCCTGTAGTGCCCAAGGATGAGATGGGAGGAATGCAAGATGCAATAGAGAAAGAAAACAGTAAGGAGCAAAGAGGGAAGAGAGAGAGAAAGAGAAGGAGAGGAGCACAGGAGGCTCTGTCCAGCTGGTCTCTGGCTTCAGACCTGGCCACTGGCACACGGCCATCTCTCATCTGTTTCCCATCAGGTCAGCTGTGAATTTGGTGAAAGTCCAAAGCCAAAGATCAGCACCCTGTCCTGATCCCTCAGCCTGCTGGCACAGATCCTTCCTCCCACTGGTGCAGACTTTTGAGATTCTACCACTGAGCTTTGGGCCCTCCCAGTGCAGATCCTTGATACAGACTTGCATAAGACATTGTTGTGGGCTCTAGGCCTCCAGTTGAACTTGTGGAGGACACTGCCATGGGCAGCAGGTCTTCAGCTGAACTCGTGCAGGACATTGCCATGGGACCCAAGCCCTCAGCTGGATTCTTTGGGTCTCTAGTGTGTGGCCGGATCTCTGCCACTCTTCTGTATTTGACTCTTCAGGTGAATATTATGAAATAATCCTATAAATCCTATGTCCTGTATAAAATCTATGTCCTTTCAAGCTCTCACTACAACACCACAGGCATTACAGCAAAAGAAAAAGTCAATTGGATTAATCAAAATTAGAAAATTTGTGTTTCAAAGAATATAATCGAGAAAATGAAAAATAACCCACAAAATGAGAAAAATGTGCAAAAGTCATACATCTGATAATAGACTTATATCTTGGGTACCTATAATCTAAAGAACAGAAGAATAAGAGGTAGAGAAATTGAATCCTCACAGACTGTGGAAGGACAGCAATCCCAGTGCTCTGGGAGGCTGAGGCAGGAGTATGGCAAGTTCAAGCCCAGCCTGGGCAACTCATCAAGAACTTGTCTCAAAAAAATAAATAGGTAAAAAGGCCTGGGGATGTAGCTCAGTGCAAAGGCCCTGGATTCAATCCCCAACAGACAGGAAGGCAAGGGATAGAGGAGAGGAGAGGAAAGGGAGGGGAAGTGAAGGACAGAACAGCAGGAGGGAAAGAAAGAAGGAGGAAGGAAGGAAGGAAGGAAGGAAGGAAGAGAAAGAGAAAAAAGAAAAGCCTCTGCTCTTCAAAAGATAAGTCAGACCAGACTTCTGTGAAGATAGCAGAGTGGTGAACAGTAGAGAAAGAGCCTTTCCAAGATTTGATGTGAAGACACTGGAATATAGCTACAAGAGGAAAATAAGGAGGGAGGTTGGTCCCCAAGACCCAGCAAGGATCTGAAGCAAGAATTGAAGCCCATGAGGAGAGTGAACAGAGAGACTTCAACAAGGAAGAAGGTGGCAAGTGGTGCTTTCTCCTTGAGCCTGGACTCACTGTGTGTGAGGGGCAGCTTGAACCTGCAGATGCATGATGACTACTGCCAACCCCGAGGCCTCCATGAAGAAATGTGCCAATGGAACAGAGCGGTGGACTCAGCTGACCGCAGTGGCTGTTGAGTTGTTTGGGTTCAGATGTCCCCCGGGAGTGGGGGATTGGCCAGGAGCCATCCTGGAGGGGGGCCACCTGAGCTTGGAACCCAGAGCAACTGCTGACTCCATCGAGCAGCTCCCAGGGTCAAGGTGAGGCTGCCAAGTTCAAGTCATCAGGAGGTCAAGGGGCTGAATTCCAGCCAGCAGGAGGCACGTGGAGTGCTGCAGGTTGAACAAGTCTAGTTCCAGCCTCACAGCCAGAAACCAGCCTGAACTTCAGCGGAACTAAAGGTGCAGCTTGTTGAGATTATCTAATACCCCACTAATATCCACAGCTGGCTTGCTGGGATTACTCAACTTGGATCTGGACTGTGTCTGCCCATGTTGTCTACCAGTGATAACACAGACATGCCAAGTAGACTTTTTTTTCTTCTTTTATTTTTTCTTTCTTGTTTTTAATTTTGCTTTGGTTTGGTTTTTCCTGACTATTCATTCTTGTGTTTATATGAGCATGAACATGGTTTCTAGTTTTTTTGTCATTGTTGTTCGGTCTGTTCTTGTTTTTATTTTTTCCTTCTCTTTTCCCCTCCTGTCTTCTTCACCAGTTTTCCAAAGTGTGTGTGATCTTCCTTTGTCCTCCAGCCTTACTTCTAATCTCTTCCTCTTCTGCTATTTCTCCA